TTATGAAATTTGCCTAATGAAGAAATTTTAATCAGTGCTTGTTGAACTGAAGATAAAAATGTAGTTTGTTTCTACAGATTTGAGGAGAATTAACATATATCTGATTGTTAATATTTGATTCTTGTTTAATTATTTATGATATCAAGGAATGAATCTGTCAAGTAAATAATGAAATGCATACATGCAGCACATGTAATTAGTTTAGGTGCATAAATTCGAAGTGTTCACTTTATAGTTGTCAGTGCAAAATTTATTAATAATGAGAAATGTTAAGAGAAGAAAATTCTTAACACTGTCTACCTCGTTAGTGTGGATTATAGCAAGTGCTGGTCAAAGATGAAACAGAAGCGAAGAACAGGAAAAGTAAAGCTTAGGCTTCTTTTTCTAAATTGTGCTTTAATTGTTTAAAAAATTAGTGAATTGAAGCATGTTTTATTTTCTACTACTTAGAAGTGCCTGTTTTGAACAAATGAATTGAGAATGATGCTGCAAATAGAATAATTCTACCTTAAACAAACAAACAAACACTTACTAAAACAGAGACCCCAGAGCTTCTAAAGCCAAATGATTATTTCAAGGGAGGAAAATCCAACCAGCACTTGGGAACTGAAAACCCACTCTTAGGATTGAACTAGATTTGGCCTTAAATTCACTGTGAAGGGGAAAAGATGGCCAGTGATGTATCTGCAGTTGCGCTCTTTTATTTTCCTTTCTTCACCAGCCAAGAGGGACTCGGAGAGAAACAATTAGTAAAGTATGTCCTTGTATGGGATGCTGGGGCACACAAAAAACAGGGATTTGGGGGCTGGGAGTTTAGCTCAGTGGCGTACATTGCTTCTTGGCAAGCGCAGGGTTGTGAGTTCAATCTCCAGTACCAAGAAAAAAACAAACAAACAAACAAAAAACCCAAAGCAAAATAGGGATCTGAAGAGACCTTAGGTACCTGTGAGTGGAGTTGGAGCAGCAGATAAAATATCTGGGTAAGATGGGCTGGAAGTTAGCAGGCTTGTGGTCCCCAAAGACATAGTATAAATCTTGTTCTCCCAGGGACCTGGATGAGCACCAGCTCCACATTAAAGACTCTGACTTGATCACTTGGTCAGAGTTACTCCTGTCTAACCAACTAGCAAATAAGACAATGAGAACCTATTTTACCACTAATTAATGTTACAATAAAGTTCTCAATCTCCAGGGCCTCAGTTTCTTCACCTATTAAAAGAAGGCTGTAATTCTATAGCTTTAATGGTCTCTGATTCAGAAAGATGGCATTGGAGTATAATTGGATTATGTACAAGAAGTTCCATGGGCATCTTGAAAAAGAGCAGGAGAGAGAGAGAGAGAGTACTGTTGTGTGGACACTCATCCCCATCTGATGGGGTGTTGTTATAGAGATAGTTACATATTTATTAGAAGATGGAAGATAAAAACACAAAAGGGAGCCCACATGTTGGTTAAGTAAGTGACATGAGTCTAACTGGAGCTATCCCTTAAGAACACTCTTACCCTACAGATATAAAAATTAAAGAGATCTAGAGGCCTATTTAGGAAAAGGAAGTGATATTACCAAATGAAGAATGTATGTTACAATTACCCTACCTGACTTAATAAAAATAGGGCAATGACAATTTAACAACTTTATTTTCAAGTGCTTCTGTAATTTACAGACTTTCATTAAGGTAATAATCTAATGGTGAATAATCCAGTTATCAAATTACTTGTTAAATCAAAGGAATTATTTGCTATCCTCCTGACTTAATTCTCACATGTCTACAAACAAAAAAACCTGGGACAAAAGTGGCTTAATTCAGCCAGGCATTAACATTGTTAAAGGAAAAATCCTATGTGGAATCTATAATGTGGTTGGTTATTCAGGCGGAAAAAACGAAGCAAAGAGCAAATGTGATTTTTACCATCTCCAAGAAAATTATCAGTGGAATTCAAGCACTCAGCTTGCTGTGGTCTAAATCAGTGTATATCATTTAAAAAACTCCTACCCTCAGAAGCCCTTCCTTATTTCTCAGGAGTCCAGCCCAGAATCTTGGGAAAAATTACATATATAGTGCATGTGGTATGTATAAAAGTGTATTAGAATATTAAGGTCACTAAATTCGGGGATGGTTAATATGCAGGAATAAATGACTGGGGGACTGAACAAAATTCAGCTTTTGCTTTGGCATTGCCTGTCCTGTCCTCTGCTCTCCCACTCTTTTCCCTCTCTAATATAAATGAGGAGTAAATCTTGATTAGTCATCAATTATGGTACTCTTACCTCCTTTTATGGTGATAGTGAGAGACAGTCATATGACCTAGTTCTGGCTGATTTGGGTTATGAAAAAAAGATCTGCTTAGCGGATTCTTGTATATTTTCCCCATTCTTAAGAAATTTAAGGTGAGAACAGTTCATCTTTTTTTGCCTGGATTTTGTAATGATTTAAAGTGACTTGGATAATATAATAGCCATTTGAGATCTTGAGGAGAACTATCTAAGGACAAACTCAATAGGATGAGGATGGCAGAGTGGAAAGATAAGAACTTGGGTGCTTGATGACATTAAAAATTTTAAGCTACTCAATGAACCAACCTTGATGTCTCCCACTTTTGTACTTCCTACATGACATATTACATGCTGTTGGTGAAGTCAGTAGAGACAGGTTTTCTATTACTTAACGTGATGGTAACAAAAACAAGGTATAAGAAGCTCTATCACATCTAAGGGATCAGCTCATCTTTGAGTTGAATGTGAGGTTAAACAATTCTTCTGATAATATTTAACACTCAATTCACTTGTTTACACAATAGTAGTCCTCCAAAATGTTGAAAATATGCATTATTTTAGGAATGAAGGTGTCAGTCAACAATACATGGTAAATATTGCTGAGAACAAATACTAAGTAAGTCAATATTTAGTGTCATTGTAGGTGAGGAACAGAAAGCTTTCTTGAAAGAGGTAGTATTGGGAGGACCCATGGTATTTGAACATTTGAAAGTAGAGTTCAGGGCATTTTAGAAAATGTGGCACATCCAACACCAACTGCAGAGTAGGTCACGGGATGAAAACACAACAGTAAGATTTTAGGAATAGAGTAGAAGCAAACAAGGCTGGCGGGGTGGAGTTAGGTGCACACCAGGGAGGGTGTGAAAGCCTTGGGGCTCCCTCTCCATGCAGTGGGAAACAGAGCTATTTGGGCCACTCACCATTTATTGATTCCAGATGAATGAATAAAACATGTAATACTTATTTTGTATAGTTTTGTATATATTTTAATGGAAAATGTACATGATTTTAATTAAACAATAAAAATTCACTTTCCATTCTAATTTGGTTTGGTTTTAGAACAGTTGTCGAAAGAAATTAGTACATGTCTGGTGAAACAGCCATTGTTTTCCAAGAGGTGCAAAACTAGATGCGAGTTCTGCAAAGAGAGGACTCTAGGCCAGTAAGCAGCACTTCACAGAGTCAAGGTTGGACAGCTCAGTAAGGGTGCAGGGCAGCTAGAGGTGGGGTCTATTGCTCCGGAAGGAAGAGATGCCTAGTTGTGTAGCAAAGAGATGTTGTTCTGAGCAGAGAGGGGGAAACTGGCCAAGAGCCTTGAACCTGGATGAGGCTGGAAGTCAGTGTCAAGAGGAGAAGCTGGCAGTACATTGGGAGGTTTCTTGTTACTGCCCAGCAAGGTAAGCCTTCTGATGAAGAGAAGGAAATGGAGTGGGGCTAGAGACAGGACTGAAGTTCTGGAGTTTTATTTGCTTATGTCTTTGTATCTTTTCTTATTCCCAGAGGGAATTAACCTTAAATATATTTGTGAATGAACATGAAACAGTGTATGATTTCATCACAGGTAAAGATAAAGGAAGTATGTGGATTTTCCAAACTTTAACCTTCACTTTCATTGCCCTCACCTCTGCAGTCTTCACAAGGGAAGCTTTGTTGCGAGTTACTAGGCAGGAGAGAGAAGCAGGGAAATGCTTCATGGTCTCTTGCTTAAAGACCAGAAGTCTTTCTTAGATTCCCCTGCAAATGTCCCCTCATGTGGTCTTGGCCAGGTCTGGTCTCACTCTTTTTCAAGCCAATCCCTGGGCACGAGAAAGGATCAGCTGTAACAGATGTAGATCACCTAGGACTTGCCCTGGCCATGAGGAGAGAGGGAGGAATGGTTCGGGGAACAGAGTCAGAACCACCTTTAGGGTCAGCAAGACTGAAAAAGGACCCCGAAGAAAATACCACAGAGTGGTGAAAAGCAGACCCTTTTCTAGTTAGGTTACCCTGGATTCCTGCTAAGGCTTAGCTAAGCCTCAGTTTCCAGGACAGCAATAGGGTTGTTGTGACAAAGGTAATGCAGGTAAGGCAGTTGGCAGTGTCTAGCAATTAATGCATCTTCAAAAAGTGAGTCTGATTATTGCTGTGCTGCTGTTATTAATAAAAAGCAACCTAGCTCCTTCCCTCCAGGAGATCACAAGGTGAAGGTGACTTCCTGCTGAGGGGTGCTCCTCTCTATTTCCCTGCCAAAGAAGAAAAGCTCTTGTAAAGACTGCTTGTCCATTTTCACATGCCTTGCCTCAATTTCCTTATGAGGAACTCAGCCAGGCCTGGACTTGGAAAGGCGGGTCCAGCACTGTGCCTCAGCACCCTCCTGATGGCAGCAGGATACAGTGGCCTGGGGGACAGGGATGAAGTAGTCTGTTCCCTTTCCCTGCTTGCTCAGTGGAGGAAAATGGGGCATTAGCGATGCTTAGTCCATCCAAGTTGATCACCGTACACCTGAGTAGCTGATTTGGACCAGAGGGTATAACCTTTTCCATCGGGGATCAAGGTCACACGTGGCACCCCCTGAATATTCCTATTACTACATTCTGGCCTTTCCAGCATTACTGGATGAGAGTCAAGAGGCAAGACTCCGGGTTCACGATGACTGCTGTCTAGCTCGCAGCCCTCCAGGCCGCCCCTCTCCGCGGTGCGCGTCCCCTGGCTCAGCGCGCGTTCGCGCCGGGGCGCGCGGTTCCCTCCGCCCGCGGGGACGCGGTGCGGCCGCGACGCCGAGCCATTTGCATTCCCCGGCAGTCATTTTATACGCGGAGGTAATGAAGTTGTCAGCGGCGCCCGGAGTGTGGCAGAGCCTGATATTCAAATCGGCCTGCGCGTCTCGCGCCCCTCCCTCCTACCCCGGCCCCGCCCGGCCGTCCCGCGAGCCCGCCGCCTCCGCGCCCCGTTACCCCGCAGCCGCGGGCGCCCCGCTCCGCGCCCGCTCCCCGGCTCGCCGGCCTTTGTCTCCGGCTCCCTCTCTTCTCCTCCCTCCCGCTTTGAGTGTTTGGCAAATCTGGACCCCGGATACCAAGGACCTTCGCGGGTCTGGTGGCTGCCAGTGACCCCGCAGGGTCCGGGAGAGGGCGGAGGGTCCCCCTGGCTCCGCGGGCGGCACCCTCACCCTCCTGCCCCGCGCCCCTCTCTTTCCTTCTCCCCGCAGCCAGCCCCTCCTCGCCTCTTCAGCTCCATTTCCAAGAAAGATGACCTAATGCGCATTATCACGTGGGCCTGAGGTCGTTTTCTTCCCTCTCTGTATGCATATTTGTGGTCATTTTTATGATTATAAAAGCCTAAATGTGCCCGTGCACTCAGCTGCTAGGAAAAGGCTGTCGCAGCGCTGGTGAGGAAATGAGGTGGAAAGACAGACACCCTTGCCTTGAGATAGGTAGCTGACGGAGACAATGGGCATTAGGTTCCGGGACTCATTCTCCAAGCCGCTCAACTGTGCGGGCCCAGGACAGCCCTGGCACCCGGGAGTGGAAGTGTGGCGAGTCCACGTGGAAAATACACTTGGGGTTGCAAAGCTGATAGGTTAGGGAAGGGAAGAGTGCAAACCTCTCGTTAATCATTGTAAAGCATTGCCTGGCTATTTAAATAATATTTTGGATATATTGCATGAAATAAAATGTAGTAGTAAAATCAGCTAAACGTTTCTTTTTACTTTTTCAGAAAACGTGGCTACAAATGACAGTATGGTTAGTGTTCTGTGTTGGACAACTCTGGCGAGGAGACCACAAACCTGAGGAACCTCCTGGCTCTAGCCCTGCCATCTCATCTAGCTCTCTAGATGGTTTGGAATAGAGGCAAGGAAGGGCTTTGGATCTTAGGCATCAAATGCCCAGGAAAATAATTAGTAAGTAGTTGACTTTATAAAAAAAATCCTGAGCAGAGGCGGAGGTTTACATGGTAACATTTTCTATTCCTATTCCCATTCCCTTTGTTCGCACTTTCCCCCAGCCTTGCCACAATTCCACGGGCGGGCCAACCGTCCGTGTGTGAAGTTGGACCTTTAGGAGTGTTTTGTGTCTTTTAGGAGTTATTTGTTGCACACTAAACTTGCTGACATGTCATTTAGAAAAGTGAGTACTGTGTATGCACTGTAACAACTATTTCATAAGTATTTTTGGTGTACATTGGGCCTCAGCACTCACGAGCTGAGGAGTAAGAGGTCCCGGAGTATGCATTGACACGATGCGCTGCAAATGATCCAGGCACGGGGGAGTCCCTGAGTGTGCATTGATTCCATGCGTGGCCATGGCTCCTACAGGGCTGTTATGGTGCAGTTTGCCAATGATCCATGAGGTAAAGACTCCCCGAATACACATTGACACGATAGACTGGAGTTGTTTGGGTCTGTCTTGGCAATGATCCGAGGATAATGGCGTTATCTTGAGATCGGAGCGCTTATGGTCCTAATGGCACAACCAGAACTGCCCCAGATATGTCATACTGTGACTCTCAGTGCAGGGCACAGTGGTCTTTGACCTCCTGCATCATGATACTGTGGTGCTGCCAATGTCTGTTGATGTTGTGTCTGATGCAATTGAAATATTTTTTTTCTCCCCATTTAAACATTTGTAAAATACTACCTGGATTGGAGGGGTCTGTGTTTTGGTAGTTTCACTTAGGTAATCATAGGCTCAAGACATAGGTGAGGTCAAATTTAAAGTGAAAAAAGTGGTTTGGGGAACATATGCTTGGAAACATGCATTCGAGGGAGAACAAATACAAACTAAGAAAACCTTGTGGCTGAAACTAGAACAGTTAATGTAAAAAGGTAGTAATAGGATGGGCAATACTTCTAAAAGTCATAAAAGTAATATATTTAATAGTAATAGAATTCAAACACTGCAGAACTGTAGAAATAAAGGATATAATTCTATCTCCTTTTCATAGCTCACTTATATCCTATCCATTGTTACAACCACTATTAATATTTTGTATAGTCTTATAGAAAAATTTTTTTGTGGTAGTGGGATTAACCTCAGGGCTTTCACACTGAATTAAGTCCCCAGCCCTATTAAAATTTTTGTTATTTTGAGACAGAGTCTCCTTAAGTTGCTAAATTGCTAAGGGCGGGCTTGAACTTTTTGTTCCTTCTGTCTCGGTCCCCCAAAGTTCTGGAATTACAGGCGTGTGCCACCATGCCTGGATTCCTCTAGTGATTTTTGTACATATACACATGTATGTCTGTACTCTTTATTTATTTACACAAGTAGATTGATGGCAATGTTACTTTTCAATGTCTTGTACTGCCTCTCCCTGACTCTCTTTTTTTCTGGTACGGGAATCAAACTCAGGACCTCATGCTTGCCAGGCAGGTACTGTGCCACTGAACTAAATCGCTGGCCTCTTGCCTTGTACTGTCTCCTAATGGTAAACTGACTATCTCTCCTCAGGGACACCTGCAATGGTAACAACTGCATGGAATTCTGGGGTATGGATGTAACAATTTTTACGTGCATGTTATTTCAACTATCCCTGCAATGAATATTGTCACACCTTTTCATTTATAAATTTGCACAAGTTTGCTCATAGGGTAAGTTTTTAGCAGTAGACACACTGGGACAAAGAGACAGACATTTAAATATTGATACACATTGCCAAGTTAACCATCATACACTCCAACTCAAAATTGGGTGCCTATATTTGCACTCAACGCCAACGTGGCGTTTGATCACAGAGGGTGCTTCTGATGCGTGAGAGTGAATTTTCCCAGTGAAGTGCTCTGCTTAGCTTTATGGAGAGAGTTCAGCACTGAGGCTTTGATAAATGCATTGAAGTATAGAAGTCAGACTACAAAGTAGGAAGTCCTGCTAGTCAAGATAAAAAATGATTAAGCTGCAAATCACACTGAGATCAGTTGAATTTTGGTAATAACCTATCAACATGGGAAAATTGATATTAGATCACATTAATTCATCATTCAGCAGATATTTGCTGAGAAGTTATCATTCTTTCTCTTCATATTGTCAACAACCATTTGCTGCCCTTTGAGTTCTGAAAATACTAGAATTTTATTCTCACTGGGCAGGCTTTGCTCTATAGCAACAAAATATCATGTTTAGTTCAGGCAGGAGTCCGGTTGGAGTACTCTGCTGTGGATTCCATGTACAGAATGGTCTCATAGGAAGGGATTTGGAAATTACGCATCTCAACATATGAGACGGATGGTGAACTCCATGAACTTTCAGCCAAATTCCTCTGACTTCTTGGTTTCCTTTGTAAAATTTAAGACTGAAAACAGTAACTCCTAGGGCTGGCAAGACAATTCTTTTCAATAATGAAAGAATTTCGCCAACTTATTTCCCATGTGAGTCCCTGATCATGAGAGATATTGTGGCACATGTTTTGTCCTCTGGGTAGTCTTCTTGTGTTTATTTTGTTTTCTTCTAGATAACATCAGATACAATTTAGAAAATTCTGAGTCTAAAAATTGGGAGAATTACATAAAATTCATTTGAAAGTCAATTTGGACTTTCCACAAAATACCAGTTACCAAGAAGGATCAAATTATTGTCAGAACTGTAATCTGACATCATAATCTTTTTTCTCCAAATGTATTTTATTTCAAAAAGAAAAAAAAAATTCAAAGCACAACGATCAAGGGATAGCAGTGGTACATACGTTGCAGATTGCCATCCCCAAATCAGTCACCCAAAGCACAAGACATCTGCATTTACTTTCTGAACAGTACCAGCACAAATCTTCTCTTTAATGAACTCTGAGAAATCAGTAGAAGAATTATCTTAACTGTAATATATATAATATAAACAGAATACATGTTATATTATTTATATAATATGTAACATTTATATAATACTCATATATGATATATATTATAAATAGTTTCAGCTCCTCATACTAGCAAGACAATATGATGTTTACATATGCAGGACATCAGAATCTTTCAACAATCATCTACTCATAAAGATTGTTCTTTTGCTGGGGGTTTAGCTCAGCAGCACAAGTGCCAGCCTGGCAAGCGTGAGATCCTGAGTTCAATCCCTGGTACTCCTTCTCCCCACCAAAAAGATTGTTCTTTCATCATTGTGAAGAAGAAAGTACCTCAACCAGTATGAAGTAGAGATGCTGTAGAATGTGTCATTTGTATTACTAGTACCAAGAACTTACGTATTTCTACACCAGTGAAGACCCAGAGGGCTAAGAGTATCCATTTGAGACACCAGCTCAGATGAAAGAAATGCTATTTAGCTGAGTGTGGGGCTGCATGCTCACCTTTACAGGATCAGCACTCAGGAGACTGAGTTCAAGGCCAGCTGGGCTACATAGTGAGTTCAAACCTGGTCTGACTTTTTCATTTAGTATGTTAATGCCTCTGTATGAAAACAGAAATGATATAAGCTTAAATATGTAGATGAGAGGATCTAATTATTGTCACTAAAAGAAGAAAAAAGGAAACAATTAGAAAAAAATGATAAAATTTAAAGCTGTATGTCCTTTAAAAATCAAGTATTGGAAGATCTCTCATAATACAGACTTGTCATCAATTAACTTGAAATTTTAATTTTCTCATTTAACAAGACAACTTTAAGTAACATGCACCTAATGAACTGTACTAATGCCTTAACACTTAGAACCTGGAAATCTCCTAACATTGGGTAGAAACTGAGGAAGAAAAAGGCCAATGAAAACTTGCAAAGGTCACTTCAAATTTGTGGAAAGACCACATTGTCGTGATGAAGCAGGAAAATTTTGAGAAAAAAATCAAAAAATTTTTCCATGTCAGAAAACATGTGGCATTTTTTGGTAAATGAAGTTGGAACTGCACACAGAATTGAATTTGTCTAAGAGTTACTCAACTGAGGAAGAGCCAGCCACAATGCTTCACACCATGGAGCTGCAGAGAATTCAGTGTCATTTCCTGGAATTATTTTCCTGGTGCAAAGTGTAAGAGACTGATAATAAAAATCTAGATAATAAGTTCTTTTGTCAACATTTTAGCATGAGCTCTAAAGGGGTTAACAAAGCAAGGAGACAAAGACAACAGTTCTTCAGTGGATTTTTTAGCTGTTTTGAGAAGCCCTGGGTACGTGCGACTCTTCTTGGTGCATTACAGTTGAAAGACAAACTTTTCTGTCCCCAAATCAACAATAAAATGTCCCTGAGCAATTCTTAAACATGTCTAATTTTGAAAATCTCTATGTTTAGGAGCTAATAATATACAATTAAACTTGCTGTTTGGTTCCTTTAAATATTGAGAATAATGTGCTAGAGAAGTATGTATGGTTAAACAAATATTTCTTTTTTTAAAAAGCTGCATTATTCTTTTCAAAATAAAAATAATCCATGTTTATTGTAAAAATTTAAACAATGTAAGAATATAAAGATTTTATATAGCCTTTTAAAGATTTGTGGTAGTAACCTTTAAAAATCACGTTCGTTGTAAATATTTTCTCCAAATTATCATTTTTCTTTTTTTTTTTTAATGTATAGAGTCTTTATATTTTTTTATGAAATAAAATTTATCAAGCTTTCCCATTCTTCATTTCTGGCCTTTGCCTCATGTTAAGAAAGACTGTCATTTTTCCTTGGATAATAAAAATCTTCCTCTGTTTTTCCCTATTACTTTTACTGTTCCAGTTTTTACATTTAAATTGTTGATCATGCTGGACTTTAATTCAGTATAAAGAATGAGACTGAGAGCTAGCTCTATTTATTTTTTTCCAAATGGCTAGCTAGCTTTTTAAAGACCATTTCTTGAATAATTTATCTTAGTCCCACTGATATAAAATGCTTCTTTGACTATGTACTGAAAGTGTACATATATTTTATGAGTCCTACTATGGTTGTCCAATCAGTCTATTTCTGAGGCACCACCATGCATTTATTTTATTATATATATATATATATATATATTTTTTTTTTTTTAAATTTTATTTAAGGAGAAAAAGAAAAAAAAGCAGAGAAAGGGTACAAGTTATACAGTTTTACAGAAAAAAATAGTAGGACATCACTAGTTAATGGATTACATATTGTCATCTTAGAAATAATTGTTCAAGTTACAAAATTAAAGCTTATAAAGTGGACATTCCAACAGTGAGACTGTAAACAGTTCTGTTCAATGATCCAACAAAACTCAGTAATATCATTATCTATCTTATATACTTAAATATACATGCAGTTATATATATATATATATTTTTTTATCGGTACCAGGGATCGAACTCACGACTGCCTGCTTGCAAGGCAGGCACTTATGCCGCTGAGCTAAATCCCCAGCCCAACAGTTATATTGTTTAGAGCACTTTCTTTTCCTCTGTTTTGTACAATGACAATTACACATTTTTTGGGTTTTGTTGCTCGCACAGTTCTTATTACTTTTTTGGAAGAGAGTAGAATCAAATGTGACATAACAGAACAGAGTCAGTCAAATCAAAAGGGTGGACATAATAGATAATGTAAAAGCATAATACTAGGTGATCAACAATGGTTACCATAATGCCTCCTGCTATCTCTAATAGAATTGCCTATATCATCAATTATAATAAAATTGAACAAAACAGTAAAGAACAAAACCAACAAAACCAAAACATTGGAGACATTATAGGTCTTCAAAAGTAGATAATAGTCAACCAGAATGGGCGTCATAATGAATCCCACTATCTTCACAGCTGTTGCCTAAACTTTCGAACCTGGTACTATCAAGCAAAACAGAATAGAGGAACATCAGTCAAAACCAGATGGTGAGAGCAATACAGGGCTTTAAATCAAGATACTGGAAAGTCAAAGTGGGTTACTATAATATATCCTGCTATTTTTTTTATTTATTTTTCCCTTAATTAAAAGGATAAAAATAAAAAAGTAAATAATAAAATGGAGATTGAGATTAAAGAGGGCATAACAGCAAAACAGCGCAAATCAAAACAGAACCATTTAAGCAAAATAGTGTTTCACCACAAGATAATCCCGACATAAAAGTAGTTACCATATTGTCTCTTTCCTTGAAATCTTTGAGCATAACTTCGTATACTGTAGCATCAAATATATCAAAACAATGTAAAACTATTTAAGAGAATGACAGTATTACAGGGTATTTAGAATCAACTAACAGAAAATGAACAATGGTTTCTGTATAATCTCCTTGTCTATAAAAGTTTTTGCTTATACTATAATACATAATAAAATCCAATAAGATACAACCTGTTTAGACCAATGGAGACAGAAGAACAAAAGCTTGATGAGACTTCAAAACAAGATGATACTAAATCAGTATTACCTCTTAAGATGTCATTTTCTCCAAAATAGCTGTTCCTATCATCCAATCTTCTCTGCCTCATTTCTGTTGAGCTCTTTTTCTGTCATTAGTTGTCAGTTTGTCTTCTTCATTTTGTTTTCTGCTCCATTCATTGTGGTTTCTCTGCTGCTATTTCTGGATTCTTCGTATTTTTCTTTTTTTTTTTTTTTTTGTCTTTTTCTTTTATCGGTACCAGGGATCGAACTCACGACTGCCTGCTTGCAAGGCAGGCGCTTATGCTGCTGAGCTAAATCCCCAGCCCCATATTTTTCTTTTTTAGAATATCCTGCAGTATTCTCTGTAGAGTTGAATTGGTGGTTGCACATTCCCCTAGTTCCTCTTTATCCTGGAAGCACCTTGTTTTTCCATCAATTTTTCTAGGGACAGTTGTGCAGGATATATCAATCTTGGCTGGAGATTATTATCTTTCAAAGCTTGAATTATTTCCCCCCACGCTCTTCGTGATTTGATGGTTTGTGCCGAGAAGTCTGCTGTAATTCTGATGGGTGTTCCCTTGTAAGTGATCTGTTTTTTGTCTCTGATGGCTTTTAATATTCTGTTCTTGTATTGGATTTCTGGAATTTTAATTTTTATATGCCTGGGTGTTTCTTTGTTTGGGTTGTAGGTGGCTGGGGTCCTGTATGCTTCATACAACTGAGTATCTTTATCTTTTGCTAAATTAGGAAAACTCTCCTGGATTATTTCTGTGAGTAGCTTTTGTAGTTCATTTGTTTGTGTCCCTTCTTCTTGTATGTTCTTAATTCTTAAGTTATAGACCCTCTTATCATCTTCTAGTCTTTGTATTATTGCTGTTTGTTTCTTTGTTATTTTTAAGAAGTTTTTCATTTCATTCTCCCATATTACAAATCTGCCCTCCAGTTCAGATAATCTGTCCTTAGTTTCTTTCAAGCTGTTATGCCAGTTTTTGATAGAGTTTTTAGTTTCCTGGTAATCTCTTTGAACCTGCTTCTCATATTCTATGCTTTCTCTATTTTCTCCATCAAACAATTCTCTCCTCCTTTTCTGTTCTTCCATTCCACCATCTGTTTTTTCTTGGGTGGTGCTTAGCATTTCTCTAACTATTCTGCTTATGTCTAGCTTCAGGTCATTAATAACTTCATTCCTGAACTTGTCTATGAGGCTCTGGAGATAGCGCTTTATGTCTATTGGTGCTGTGTCTGCTATTGCCTCTTTCTCAGGATTGGGGGCCGAGGAGCCTTTCTTGTTGCTGCCTCTTCCCATATTCTTTGTTCCTTATATATGCAAGTGTATATAGGAGGCCCAACTTCCTTCCCTGTCAGCCACAGTCTGATTGAATTGCGCCGGCTAGGTGTTCCCGCCCACCGCAGCGCACCAGGAAGTTGCAGACCAGGCAGCCTATGCGAGGCCCGCCCTCCAGGTCAATCTACCTTCAGGCGCTGGGACCTGGGTTGTGCTAGCCTACTGGGTCTCAGCCAGCAGTGTCACATAGGCTAGGCACTGCTCACCAATCCCGCTTGAGAGGGGGATATGTGACTGAAGTCACTGCAGCACCTTGTTCCCGCAAGTCTGCCCGGTCCCAGAATGTCCTCTGTTGGAGTCTCCTAGACCGTGGAAGAGTCCCAGTTTCTCTCACTCACCGCAGGTCAATGCAAAGCTCCCTGCCTGTCCTGCTTTCAACTCAGTTCACTGATTCCCGTTCTCAGAGCTTTTGCGCGTCTCTCTCCCTGCTGAGCCGATGTAGATGCAGCAGCGGCAGCGGGAAACCCAAATCGGATCTTCCAAAGGCACGGGCTCCAACTTCCACACTGAGGTTTTTCTGTTCCTGTTATAGCACCAGGATTGCATTCCCAGTTGGTTTCTCTCAGCCCAGTTCGTTCTTGGGTTAGCTGAGCATATCTCCTCTTGCTTATGATTCCTTACTCTGCACCATTCCTGAATTCTAAGCTGGGTCTTTCAGAGAGCCTCCGTAGCTGCTGCTATCTGTCCGCCATGTTCTCCCGGAAGTCATCTATGTTTTATTTTTGAAACAGGGTTTCACTATGCAGTTCGGGCTGGCCTTGAGCTCACTTTGTAGCCCAGGCTGGTCTCGAACTTGCAATGACTCTCCTGCCCTAGCCTCACAAGTGCTGGGATTATAGGTGTGGGCCTCCATGGTTGGCATCCACCATGCATTTTAAAACTCATTTCTTTTTGTTTTAAGAATTTTTAAAGTGTTTGTTTTCTAGATGAATTTTAGAATAATTTTGCAAAGTTTCAAAAACATCTTACTGGAATTCATATTAGAATTGTATACTTTATATAATTCATACTTAAATAAATTTTTAGGTTAGTTTGGGAAGAGTTCTTCAAGATTCTGAGCCTTATGTGAAATGAAGACAGGATTTCGTTGAGTGTGTGTGTGTGTGTATGTATACATGTGTGTACCATGAAGAAATTTTACCTGTTTATTTCTGGGAATTTTATAGTTTTGTTGTTTTTTATAATTAGCTGTCTAGGTATGTGCTGAGATAAGTTACCCCCCAAAGTAAAATGTAAGCTTGGCCTGGCATGGTGATACAAGCCTGTAATCTAGCACTTGGGAGGCCGAGGCAGGAGCATCGTTGTGAGTTTGAGACCAGCCTGGGCTACAAAGTGAGCTCAAGGCCAGCCTGAACTGCATAGAGAGACCCTGTCTCAAAAACAAAACCAAACAAACAAACAAAAAAAGTAAGCTTGAAGCTGAGTTGTTGTATTTTGAAGAGGTTCTGATAGGAACCTGTGTTTTAGAGACAAACTCAGTTGGATCTTTGATACAGCTTTCAAGATGCCATGAGGATTTGAGTAGATTCTAAGCATTTTCCCTCCATCTGAAAAAGAGGAAATCCAGCAGGATTTGTATTGTCAAAGGTATCAAATATGGGA